TTATGTTCATAGCCTCTGCCAGGTTTAAACCCGACAACAATGCTTCGTATTCAGCTTCATTGTTGGTAGCGGAAAAAATGAATTGAATTGAATGACAAAAAACTCGTTGATCAGGATCAATTAGGACAATTCCTCCTCCTGCTCGGTTCGCATTTGATGAGCCATCGACATACATCGTCCAGGGATGATCGTTAATGACTTTTTGAATTCCTGGTGTGAACTCGGCGATGAAGTCGGACAGAACTTGTCCTTTAACAGCAGTTCTCGGCTTGTAATGAATGTCGATCTGACCTAACTCCACGGCCCATTTGACCATTCGACCCGATGTGTTGGGTCGGTGAAGAATTTGTCGCAACGGAAATGCAGTTAACACAGTAACCGAATGCTCTTGGAAATATGGTCGCAATTTCCGAGCTGCTGTGATGAGTGCGAAAGCTAGTTTCTCCATTGGTGGGTATCTCAACTCGGCTTCATGAAGAGCTTTACTGACATAATACACCGGGTATTGCTGAGAATCTTCTTCGCGAATAAGTACCGCGCTTATCGCTGAGCTGCTAACCCCGAGGTACAAATACAGCATCTCATCAAATTTTGGTTTCTGCAAGGTAGGGGGTTGAGATAAAGCTGTTTTGATGCTATCCAAAGCTTTTTGGCAATCATCAGTCCATTCGAACCGTTTCCCTTTCTTTATTGCGTCAAAAAAGGGTTTGCATCGATTTGTGGACTTGGATATGAAACGATTCAGAGCAGCGAGCCGACCTGTGAGTCCTTGCACTCCTTTAACTGAAGTCGGTGGCTTCAAGTCCAGAATAGCCTTGATCTTTTGGGGATTTGCATCTATTCCTCTTTGACTGACTACATAACCCAGGAATTTCCCCGACTTCACCCCAAACGTACATTTTTTAGGATTTAACACCATGGAGTAATCACGCAAAATCCCAAACATTTCATTCAAATGAGCTACATGATCGTCGGCATTTACCGACTTTACAAGCATGTCATCTACATAAACTTCCATGGTTCGTCCTATTAATCTAGAAAACATCTTGTTGACCAACGTTTGGTAAGTGGCCCCGGCATTCTTCAATCCAAAGGGCATCATGGTATAGCAATACAGGCCCCTTGCCGAATAGAAAGAAGTATGTTCGGCCTCCTCTGGATCCATTGGAATTTGATTGTATCCTGAATACGCATCCATAAAACTCATCAATTCATGACCTGAAGTAGCATCCACCATGTAATCAATGTGAGGTAACGGGTAACTGTCTTTTGGGCAGGCAGTGTTAAGATCGGAAAAGTCGATGCAGAGACGCCATGTCCCATTGCTTTTCTTCACCAGGACGGGATTGGACACCCAAGTCGGGTATTTGGCTTCCTTGATGAATTTATTATCAATGAGCTTGTTCACTTCTTCTTCTAAGGCCTGTTGTCGATCTGGACCGAGTTTCCGTCTTTTCTGGATGATGGGCTTGATAGTGTGGTCGATGTTGAGTCGATGGCAGGCTACTTTCGGGTCTATTCCTTTCATATCTTCATGCCTCCAGGCAAAGACGTCGGCATTGGACTTCAAAAACGAGATGAGTTCAGTTCGAATAGGTTCTTGGAGGTTGGCCCCAATACGAAGTTGCTTGTCGCAGATGGGTTCATCAACATAGATGACTTCTATTTCTTCGGATGGTTCAGCTCGGTTCTCTTGCTTCTTTTCTTTAAATTGACTTCTTGGATCCAGTTCGTCTTCTTCCAAGGCTGGTTCCTTTCCGGGTTTCCTCCCTCTATCTCGGGTAAGATCCTCCTCAATAAGCTCGTCGAAGTTGGAAGGATTTGAAGTCGGAATTGTCGATGTTGGCTGAACCTCCGATGGAGTTGTGACAATCCCAGAAGGGTTTGAAGTCGGAATTGTCGATGTCGGCTGAACCTCCGACGGAGTTGTGACAATCCCAGAAGGGTTTGAAGTCGGAATTGTCGATGTCGGTTGAACCTCCGACAGAGTTGTAGCAATCCCAGAAGGGTTTGAAGTTGGAATTGCCGATGTCGGTTGATCCTCCGATAGAGTTGTGACAATCCCAAGATTGATATTTTGGATGTTTTCAGGAACCGAACTTTGTAGAACTTGAGTACAGTCAATCATCTTTTCCTTTTCCTCAACGTGCATTTCTAAGTTATGGATTTCTCGAGATGGGATTGCCAAGATTAACTCACGAGCTCCTAACTGATCGCCATAATGAGTCCCCTCGCCGTCAGCGGTTGGAAACTTGATTGCATAATGAAAAATGGACACTGCTGCTCGCAATTTGTATAGGGCTGTCCTTCCAATGATGGCATTATATTCGTTGTTGATGTCCATGATTTTGAAATTTTCCATGATGACTTTGGAAGTTTGCCCGTGACCCCCAAACCTGATGGGAAGGGTGATTTCTCCTAACGGGAGAGATACGCTCCCGTTAAATCCGTGTATCTTATCGTTGCATGGACGTACGTCGGCTGAGTCAAGTCTAAGCTTCCGAAAGGCTTGAAGCATAAGAATACTTGAATATGCGCCGGTATCTACTATTATACGATGAACAGGAATTCCACAGATAGGAGCAGTTACGATCAATGCATCAGAATGAGGGTGATCAAACAAGCTTGCATCTTCTAGGGTGAAGGTGATCGGACAAGTGCGTGAGTTGATTGTTTCCCTCAAATCGGTAGTCATTACTTGTTTTCCCGAGTTGTATGCTCTTCTAGCATATGCTTTGGCTTGCCGACATTGTAACGCCCCACTTTATTTTAAAGGATTTATCGAATTTATTTAATAAAAATCACAATAAATTTTTCGCAAACTTTAATTTAATTAAAAACTCAGTGGGCGCTACTCAAATTTACCAAAAGCCTTTAACAAAAAATGCAAACGTATCAAATAAAGACAGCATGCACGAATAATAAATCATAAACCAAATTGGCATTCATTAAGTTCCAAATCATAAAGATAATTCACAATTCTAAGTTCAAAACGACACAGTCATAATATCTCAACATAAATGAGCGGAAGCAAATAAATAAGCGATAGATAAAAGCATGACCACCACCCGTCTTGTCTCGTCACCCGCCGACTGCTTAACCTGCATCAGTTACGAGCAGGTGGGAGTGAGTACAGTTAACTATCGTACTCACACTATGCATATGAATAACATAATAATGGTATGGTCGCAGCATGAACATAAACAATAAAATCATGTCACATCTCTAGCCACATCAATGACTATAGTCTCATCAAAGACTCACTCATGTACATCTATGCTCATCAAAGCTAAGCCATGCCATATCAGTGAAACATGGGAGTGCGTGCCACATCAATGACACGGCCTTCTCATAGGTCTTTATGAGATTTACCTCACAGGGTAACCGCATCTTATCATACGGGGACAACCGTATCGACGGCCATCAAGCTCACATCGATAGGCTACATGTTCATTTTCATACATAGATCACACCAAACTTTTATCACAATAAAAATCACACATATGCATAGATAATTTTAGAATAACCCACCTGGATTCCGGATTGATAATAACTCAAAGCAATTGGTAGTAGGTCGAGGCTGGACTCCTCAATTACCTACATTGAGTCAAGATGCTACAATCAACATCTATCTTGACTTTAAACGAAAAACACAAAACAAACCTAGTCGAACTTGTTTCGACTAAGTAGTTCGTGAAGTCCTGTGGATGTTGGAACACTAAGACTCGGCACTAAACTCGACCAAACCACATAAGGGAGCTCACATAAATCCATCTAAGGATTGACCAGTCAAACTCACATCAAAACGAAAAGCAAGTCGATTCCCAACTTTTCATTTCAAAATCGTGTTTCGAAAATAGTAATCATTAATCACATGAAAATAGATGGTCAGGCTACCCTACGACTTAAGCTCTGAAATTTTACACAAAATTACATCTCCCAGAAACATGTAAAACCACAAATTTTCAGCTTCAAACTCGAAATACAATATTTTATAAAATTCGAACAAGATATCAATAAAATGGGAACATCAATTCATACTTGAACTTAATGAGCGAATCGGGACTTGCAAATTTAACACTATAACATACAACATACTAATATCAATGTGTAAAAATCTCAGCCTCAAATGTTGACTGCTACTATTTTTAAAAATTCACACGAGCATCAGCAGTTTATCGAATTTAAATCAAAACTGAATCAAAATGGACTCCAAAAATTTTTATCTTTTAAAAACCTAATTCAACACATAAAATAGGCCTCTCAGTAAAATTTCAGAATTTTTCATGAAGTAACCAATTTATAAAAATTCAAACAACGCTTCAGCAGATTCGATAAATAAATTATTAGCCCCATCCAATCAAGTCCAAAAATTCTTAAAATTTAACACAACATATAAAAGTCACAGAGTCATGACATATTCGAATCTCAGCTCATTTCATTCACGAATGAAGTTTTTATGCATTTAACACCATTCTGATCAGATTTCTCCTTAATTATTAAATATAGCTACTGGCCTCTAAAAATTACGAAATTTTTACACAAGGCTGGAAATGAACAGATAACATATCCCTCAAAATTTCAAGTCATTTCGAGCAGCGAGCTATTTTTAAAAATTCAAACACCAAAACAGCGATATAAATGCTCGACAACTTATCAATTAAATTCATAACATGAAATTTCTCGTCCGAGGCCTTCTCGTAAGACCAGGGACTCGACATGGTTCCAAAATCCACCGACTTACACGACTTTCGGGGTCTCGTTCGATTCTTTAGAAAATCGAAGAGGTCCCGAACACATATACAACACATAAAATCATAGCTCTTACATAAAATCATAACCAACACATTAAAAGACATCACAACATGGATTAAAACCCCATTAATGCCCAACGATTATTCAACACCTTAGAACACAAAATTTTGAAAATAATAAAAAAAAATGGCTCAACTTGGAAATGAACTTGATTTTACAAAACCAAATTTTCTCATAATGAAAACCATATCTTCAAGCATAATATTGGACACTAAAAGTTCTATTAACAGCATTAAAAGAAGCTACTAAATTCGGTTACAGACTGCTCATTTCACGAAATTCAATGTCAAAGCACTTGGAAATTAAAAATCGCTTTTCTCCCAAAATTCAAAGCCAATATCTCACAAATTTGAGTCAAAAACACACCAGCTACTGAGGCAAATTAAGGCTGCAAAAGTTTTGAAAACACAGTCCCCAAATACTCACGGCAATGAAGAATATTATCAAGTAAAAACTCCCAAAATTTCTAAACATACACGACGGCTTCAAAACTCAACCTTGCAAAAAAAAAAAAAAAAACCTTAAAAAAAAAAATTCAGGAAAAATAAGAAGAGGGTATAGCCTTATACCTTCTTCCGGAATCTACTAGTCGGGATCGAAAGAGATCAAAACTCAAGACCTCGGACGCTCAAACTCTGGCCTCGGCAAAGCCCGGTAAAACTCCAACCGGCTTCTCGGGGACAGATGCTACACGCACAGAAAAGCCTTCGGTTCACGTGCTGCTAATTGGCTTCTTGCGTGGCTGGAAAAACGAGTAAAAAGGGCTTGTTTCTCGCTGTTCAGGATTTTCTGAGTTTTTGTGGATTTTTTTTTTTTCAAAGTATCGAATCAGAGAGAGAAGGAGAGAGGGCAAGAGATTTTTGAGTGCTGAGGGAGAAGAAGGTTTTTGGCTGCGGGATCGCGAATGTGAGAGAACCGATCGTAAGGAGAAAATATATATACGATCATTAGGTTAACAAAAATTCTTCATGCTTAAGACATCTCATACACACATCTCACGTGCAAAATAGAGGAAAAAGGGGCAGCCAGGCTGGGCCGAAGGGCGGGTTCGGGTCGGTTCTCGCGGGCATTCTTGGGCTCGACTTCGATCGATTTAGCCAATATAAAATGGCTCGGTTCGCTCAATAAGATAAAATTATATTCGACTATTATAATAAAATATATTACACACATTAACAATAATAATAATAATACACATTAAGCATTTATTAGACAATTAGGTATTTAAATAAATAATAATAATAATAATAATAATAATAATAATAATAATAATAATAATAATAATAATAATAATAATAATAATAATAATAATAATAATAATAATAATAATAATAATAATAATAATAATAATAATAATAATAATAATAATAATAATAATAATAATAATAATAATAATAATAATAATAATAATAATAATAATAATAATAATAATAATAATAATAATAATAATAATAATAATAATAATAATAATAATAATAATAATAATAATAATAATAATAATAATAATAATAATAATAATAATAATAATAATAATAATAATAATAATAATAATAATAATAATAATAATAATAATAATAATAATAATAATAATAATAATAATAATAATAATAATAATAATAATAATAATAATAATAATAATAATAATAATAAT